TAGTTTTATTCTATAATATTATAGTGACATTGTCGTTTTTTTGTCAACATTAATACAACAGTTTTCGTGTATTGTGACTTAGTTTTTACCCCCTTAGGTCAAGCCGAGTGCTTGTAGAGAAGTGACAGGTTCTGTATCGTGTGAGACCAAAAGAAGGCGTTTATATTATGGGGTTGTAAACTAATGTGTTTAGTGCATCAATAAAAAAGCCGGAAACGCCATAAAAGGGACAAAAAAATCTGCAGAATGGGAAAACGGTCGGTCTTTTCTCGTTTCAGATCTTGTACCAGCAGTTAAGCTTTTGGTGACAATAGCTTTTCCGATTTAGACAAAACTGTAATATTATAAGTGACCCGTATTTTTAATTAATGTGTTTATTTTGTTTAAAGCAAATCTCCAAAGTCTTCAATGCTATTCGCTTTATTGTGTTTTTTCTAAATGTGCATTTTGTCGCATTGCGAATTTTTCGTGCATCTATTGTTTAGTGCAGTGTATTTCTCTCTTGAACTTATGAAGGTTGAGCATTGCAATACTGTCATAACGTGACCCGTATTTTCGTCCTACATCTTTCGTTCCGTTTTTTTATTTTTTATTATTATAACAAATTTTTCACTCATATGCCTTTCTGTTGGAATCGAGATTTGTATTTTTCCAATATTAATCAAAATCAAGAATATTAATTTTAATTCTTTTTATTGGTTAATTCTTATTTTTTGTAATGTTCATATTGCTGTACGATATTATGGATCTGCTTTTAACGTAGCTAATCCTCAGCTCCAGCATTTTTAAAATAAAGAGCAAACACAGTCTCTTGAGGTAGACGTTATATCCAAATAAAAAGTGACTTAGTCATTAACCAGTTTATAGCACCTTGAACCAATAACATATAGTATCTCTGATCTCCCTTGATTCGCGACATTGTTCTGGATGGCTTAACTTTATATTAAGGCTCGTTCGTGCTAAATTGCCTTAAATTATGAATGAAAAAAATCAAACCGCACTGATGTTATATTTCGGCTTCAAAAACACAAATATCACATGCTCCAGCCTTTATCATACCCGTTTGTCTAATACGCTTTTTAGTTAGTCTAAGTAGCCTATATCAGTGCGTGGAAACAAGTACGAAAATAGAGATTTTCCTTGCGATTGTATAGGGAAAAAGATGGCGACGGCAGAGCTACTGCTGTTAAAACAGTCATGAAGAAATGCAATAAATTCCTTGTTGTTTTATGAAAATTTACAACTTTGTGATAGAACTTTATGAGTGCCTGGGTCCTGGGATTGGCCGAGGATGGTCATGTGGACGAGTAACCGTGAACATGAACTTTTTATGATTTCCCAAGTGGTTATATTGCAGCATTCTTTTGGCCGCAGCGCTTAATGTAGCTTCACTGTGCTCCTTAAAGGTTCTTACTCTATTTTTATAATATATTTTGACCAACACTGAAAATGCACACAGTCGGAGAGCATTGTTCAGGCTGATGTTCTCAGAATGAACAAGGAGAGAACAGCCTCCTCTCTGCTCTGCTATGCTAATGTGGCCGCCTGTGATTGGGATAACCACTGCGATGGAGTCTTATTGAGATCTGGACACGCAGTAGGGTCTCATCTAATTTTTCATACGGGGGGCTGACTCCCGTTGACTAAAGCGGGTGAAACGGATGGAAGCTGTGGTGCCGCTGTCATTTTCACTGCTTCGCTCTAATGGCGGGACCAAGAAGAGCAACAGGACTTACCGAGCGCGAGCTACGGCGAGAGGTTTGCGCCTCTCTGTCCTAGTGCTGGGTGACGAATTATCAACAAAGGTAAGTCTGTCATTGTCTCGCAACCGCATCGTTTCTCTGAGGTAAGAGCTCGACCAAGCCTAATCATGCGCACTGGATGGACGTACTCCTAAACTGTACATGAGCGACTTATTAGTTAACACCTTATCTAAATCCAATTATTCATTTACATCTTAGGTGGAGCAGCGTTTTGGTGCATTTCCTTGCCTTTTCTTCTCGTCAGCGTTGGGGTGTTCTAATGCATGGTGTGCATTTACAGAGATTCAGATGTGCTGATTTCGGGTTTTTCCACTGCATTACTGTATGTGTTATGATATGGAGCGCAGTCATGGCTGCGGCGAGAGGGCGAGGTTTGAAGAAGCTGCTGTCTTGACAATCGGATTTTAGCCTTAAATCCCTGGGTCAATTATTTAGTGAAATGCTGGAGATATTATTCCGTGCCACATTTAAAGTTATAAATGCGATAAAATGTAATGCTTACCACCCTAAATCACAAACTAATAATAAAAAAACAAATAAAATAAAAATAAATAAAAAATATAACAATACTTGAAGGCCTCACTTGAATCGTTAGGGTTATGTTCAAAATACCCCAAATACCCAAAGGTCTCCTTGTGTTTTTGCATAGACGTCTTTCACTTCCAGATCAGATGAACAAATCTTCCAGGTTATTATACCGGCTGCTGTGAGAGAGGAAGGCAATGATTCCTCGCGGCTCTGCTTGGCATAGGCTATTTTCTCTCTCTCTCATCTATTCCATGCCGTCCAGCAAATTTGTAACGTTCCTAAAAAAATTGTTGTCCACTTGTTCACATGCTTATCTTCTATAACACTGTACGGTGTAGACTGTATGGAGCAAGGATAATGTGGGAAATTAGTAATGTCTGTCTGTCTATCTATCTATCTATCTATGCCTCACAGATTTTTTTAGGTAAATTGTATGTAATTAATAAAATGTTTGGAATGTATATCACATGATTGAGAACTTTCATCTCTGTATCTTACACGAGACTGGCAGTCTTACATAATATATATCCAATAGACTGTGAATAATTAATTATTCAGTATTTTACCAGAAACTTATATGTGCATTAACCTGGTCGGTATTTTCTAACTTCATCTTCCTAGGTGCATGAATCTGGTCAGCTTCTTGTTGTTGAGAGATGCTGACACAAATCCAAAGCACATGAGCCATTTCCCCGCTATCTGGCGCCATCTAGTGTCCATTCTTGCATTTCGCCAACACAGACTACTTGGACTAGAGGGTGTGTTTATTGCACTGGGTATGTGTGTGTGTGTGCGTGTGTGTGTGTGTGTGTGAGAGAGAGAGCGCGTAAGAGAGAGAGGATTTATTACAGTGCGCATTTGTTTGTTGTATTGTGTGTGTGTGTGTGTGTGTGTGTGTGTGTGTGTTTTAACCAACACTGAAAATTCACACAGTCGGAGAGCATTGTTCAGGCTGATGTTCTCAGAATGAACAAGGAGAGAACAGCCTCCTCTCTGCTCTGCTATGCTAATGTGGCCGCCTGTGATTGGGATAACCACTGCGATGGAGTCTTATTGAGATCTGGACACGCAGTAGGGTCTCATCTAATTTTTCATACGGGGGGCTGACTCCCGTTGACTAAAGCGGGTGAAACGGATGGAAGCTGTGGTGCCGCTGTCATTTTCACTGCTTCGCTCTAATGGCGGGACCAAGAAGAGCAACAGGACTTACCGAGCGCGAGCTACGGCGAGAGGTTTGCGCCTCTCTGTCCTAGTGCTGGGTGACGAATTATCAACAAAGGTAAGTCTGTCATTGTCTCGCAACCGCATCGTTTCTCTGAGGTAAGAGCTCGACCAAGCCTAATCATGCGCACTGGATGGACGTACTCCTAAACTGTACATGCGCGACTTATTAGTTAACACCTTATCTAAATCCAATTATTCATTTACATCTTAGGTGGAGCAGCGTTTTGGTGCATTTCCTTGCCTTTTCTTCTCGTCAGCGTTGGGGTGTTCTAATGCATGGTGTGCATTTACAGAGATTCAGATGTGCTGATTTCGGGTTTTTCCACTGCATTACTGTATGTGTTATGATATGGAGCGCAGTCATGGCTGCGGCGAGAGGGCGAGGTTTGAAGAAGCTGCTGTCTTGACAATCGGATTTTAGCCTTAAATCCCTGGGTCAATTATTTAGTGAAATGCTGGAGATATTATTCCGTGCCACATTTAAAGTTATAAATGCGATAAAATGTAATGCTTACCACCCTAAATCACAAACTAATAATAAAAAAACAAATAAAATAAAAATAAATAAAAAATATAACAATACTTGAAGGCCTCACTTGAATCGTTAGGGAAATACCCCAAATACCCCAAATACCCAAAGGTCTCCTTGTGTTTTTGCATAGACGTCTTTCACTTCCAGATAAATCTTCCAAATCTTCCAGGTTATTATACCGGCTGCTGTGAGAGAGGAAGGCAATGATTCCTCGCGGCTCTGCTTGGCATAGGCTATTTTCTCTCTCTCTCATCTATTCCATGCCGTCCAGCAAATTTGTAACGTTCCTAAAAAAATTGTTGTCCACTTGTTCACATGCTTATCTTCTATAACACTGTACGGTGTAGACTGTATGGAGCAAGGATAATGTGGGAAATTAGTAATGTCTGTCTGTCTATCTATCTATCTATCTATGCCTCACAGATTTTTTTAGGTAAATTGTATGTAATTAATAAAATGTTTGGAATGTATATCACATGATTGAGAACTTTCATCTCTGTATCTTACACGAGACTGGCAGTCTTACATAATATATATCCAATAGACTGTGAATAATTAATTATTCAGTATTTTACCAGAAACTTATATGTGCATTAACCTGGTCGGTATTTTCTAACTTCATCTTCCTAGGTGCATGAATCTGGTCAGCTTCTGTTGGTTGAGAGATGCTGACACAAATCCAAAGCACATGAGCCATTTCCCCGCTATCTGGCGCCATCTAGTGTCCATTCTTGCATTTCGCCAACACAGACTACTTGGACTAGAGGGTGTGTTTATTGCACTGGGTGTGTGTGTGTGAGAGAGAGAGAGCGCGTAAGAGAGAGAGAATTTATTACAGTGCGCATTTGTTTGTTGTATTGTGTGTGTGTGTGTGTGTGTGTGCGCGCGCACGCCAGCGCGTGACGTTTTATGGCAGTGTGAGAATGTGTTTTAGTGTTCTTCTAAAGCACGTTTTATTGCTGTGTGAGTGTTTGTGCGACTGTGTGCGCGCAGTATCTTTTCTTCCTCTTTTATCAAGTCACACCAGCATTCACCACTCACCAACAGATGTGTGCTTTAGCTTTTAAATATTAATAAAACCTCTTAAATGTTGTATGCAGTAAAGCACACACGTTGCAGCCGCAGATAACAGGAAAGACAGGGAGGGGTTCTCGGCCCGGTGGCAGTGAAACGTAAAAGAATGTAGGGGCTGTAAATTCTGCTAGCTGTTCTTGCTGCTCTTTGAAGTGTCTGCGGTTGGGGAAGATTTGTGGAATACACACACACACACACACACACACACACACACAAACCTGAGGCCTGAAGGGCTTATTCCTTCTACTCTGCTCTCTTGCTTCTTGTAATGCATCCAGAATATCAGGATTTGACTACTCCTAGGTTATTTCACTGTAAAGGGAATGAAGTGCGTCGAGGCCTGGGTGCGAACCGACCTGTGTGCGCCCTAGCCAAAACCTACATCCTTGACCAGTTTTTAAAGTCATGCTGACCTTTTCATATCTTTGGCGTTCTCTCTTATGCAAGTACATACTCCAAGCAATAAGTGTTTATTTGGACTGGTAGTGGGCATAGTAACCGGAAAGAGAGAGAGAAAAAGAGGGAAAAGTGAGACGGAGGAGGGACTGCTTGGAGATTGTACGACTCCTGTTTAATGTCGTAAAGAGCGAATGTGTGATATGGTTTGTCTCTTGGTTTTTGTGTATATTTGACGGCTCTGCCTTTTTGCACCTTAAGTACTATAATTTGTAAGCAATTCCAGTCACAAGGCACAAGTTTCCATAATGTAAAAAGTACATGCGCTCTCTCTTTTATTTGCATAGCTTCCGCATTGACTTCAATGATTTATGCTATTTCAAAACATGGATAATTGCAGGGCGGATTTTAAATCATTGTTAACATAAATATAAACGCCCTGTTTAAAGTAGCTTAAAGTGAAATTAAAACGTTTTATTCTTTGATCGACCAAACAAATATAATCATCATTATTTTTGTTGAAAACAGAGAACCGTATAGTCTTTATAACCATCCACAACCATCCTCAGAAATCCCGTGTTATGAGTGGCTGACAGAGCTTCTGAAAATCAATAAGGCTTTTATCCATTACGTTCATGATGTTAGTGAAATCTGATATGGATACAGAAATACATAAAAAACTGACTTTTCAATGATTTACTAATTTATAAAGACATGGACACCTCCATTTATTTTGTATTTTGTCTAACATGCAGTTCTCGGATTTGATCATTTAGACGCGTTTGTAGGTCTTAACGTCATGTACTTATTGTACTTTACTCTGACTTTAGCGTGTGGGAGAAGAGCTTTCATAAATTAACGTTGGGGTACACTTTAAGACAAGAGTTTGCGGATCCCCCTCCCCTGACTTTTTGACAGTAAAATGCATGCGCATTTTTAAATGAAACTTGATTCACCAGATTGCTGTATATAGTATCCTAAAATGTACAAAAAGCACCTATAACTAAAATATATTACTCACTGACCTTCCGGTATTTAGGGGAGAAGATAAACAGTGAAATCGTGAGAATGATTATCGTACCATAAATACGAAGAGCGAAAATAATGTATAGGCTACTCAAATAAAATTGAAGCGTGTAGAGGCAGCATATATGATATAAACGCGGCAACCACAGTCTTACTGTAAATTTAAAGGAAGCCTAAAAGAACCTTAATTTATGTTAAAATATATTGTACACGAAGGAGACACGGCATTTGGTGTAAAGCCTGCATGCCATTTTAACTGTTCAGTTTCAAGAATTAGTAATTATAACAAATGTCTGACACCAGCATTCAAAACAGTGAACTTGTGAGCTCTTTACATATTTTATTAATATGAAACTGTTTTTTACCATTTTAAAATCATGTATTATTAAAAAAAAAAAATCAGTCAATGAAAATAAAATCCTTCGATAAATGTTTTTCATATGCATTACATAAACAGACTAGACAAGTTAGACACACGTGTAGCTATTAATAATGTTCATTAATGCACATTTGACATACATATGCTATACACTCGGGGAAATTTACAGAACGTTGTAGAATACTTGACAAAAAAACTTAATATCAAAACACATAACTCCATATCCAAACTGGGTGTAAAATTGTTCAATTTCACTCCTTTTCACCAAATAAGTGACTTGCGCAGATGTATTCAGAAAAGTTGACTATTAGTCCATTGCAATCCAATTGTCTCGCTGGATTCTGTGGTTCTTCGACGAGGAAGAAAATACCTGTAAAGATAGAGAAAGAATAATGAAGTTAATCATAAAACATGAGCTTTTTGGAGAAAGACGTAGGCCTATCACACTTGTATTTTGAGTTACGTTTAAATATTGTGCTATCACAAACTAAGATGTCTTGGTTAAGAATTTATAGAACGTGTAATGGTAGTTATTACTCATTAATAATTAACAAACGCAGACCGGCCCTTCTCCCCCTTGCTCATTTCTACAAATGGAAACACAATAGATGCTTTCCGTTAGCAGAAAACTATGCAATGCGAAAGGAAACGCAGCATCCTAGTCAAAGGAAACCGAAATGAAAGTAAAATGCACGCAACCCCCACTGCACGACCTTTAAAAATATCCACTTGTTGTGCCGCAAATGGTTTATTGGTCGTATAGCGACAGGATACCAGGCCACCATAACTGTACTTTTGGTTAATGAAAAACACACACGCTCGACCAGCGCAGCGCAACACCAAACACAAAAGCTAAAACACTGTTGCATTATTTGCTGGCATTCTCAAACCATTAACTAAAGCAAAGGAGGAAACATCTTATGCGAAATGCTGTCAAAAAAGTCTGAGTCTGTTTTATAGCCTACTCATAAAAAATAAATTGAACAAAACACTTTCTATAGATTTACACACACACACACACACACACACACACACACACACACACACACACACACACACACACACAATGTTCACACATATAGTACATATCTGTACTGTCATTATGTGTCAAAATTAATATTTAATAATTTAGATGATCACTTAATATTTGAAAAAAACGGTTTTGTATATACACCAACATATCTGTTACCTATTGGATTTTGTTGAATAGTTTTGCTCAGGCTCATTTACTTTGCACTGTTTATATATAGGCTTTGGTTTTCTTTAACACGTCGTTTACCATTTATAAATCACTATGAAATTACAGTGATGAAAAAAGCGATGAAGCCGCTATCATCAATATGTCATTTTATCTATTGTGACCTACTTGTGCGATAAGGCCTAGTAAATTACCAATCTGAAATATAAATAAGGAAGGATGAAATATGATCAAATGTAGTACGGAATAATGTGTGTTTGGAAAATCTGCTACTCCAGGGCTTGTATGTTGACACTCTATTCTCCAATGGTATGATAGGACCAAAGACGACTGTATGTGGGGGCACAAAGTGTCGATGTATTCAATTTAGCGTTTTAAAATTCCTATGTGATTCGTATTGTGCAATCTCATTGGAAGGTACGGAAAGGGAGAAGGGATTAAAAAAAATCTAGCTCTCTGCTCCGGGGTCCCCCGGCGCGTGCAATCACAGCCCCCCTCAAGGATACTATTTTGCAGGCACGTCCGCTCGCTATTGGTCAGTGGCTGGTCAGATGGTACGGTTTCCCTCTGTCCCGCACTGGCACATAGCCACCCAGAACACCCCCCCACCCCAGTGTCCAAGAGAAGGCGTCCCCATCCTCCTTGTACCAGCAAGCGAACGGTGCCTACGGCAGGGCAACCGCCGCCGGTCCCTGCGATTATGCGACAGCAAGCTTCTACAGGGAAAAGGACCCTGCCTGCGCCCTCGCCAGCATAGAGGAACACTCCTTCGTTCTCAGTCAGGATCATCGCAAGCAAGATTGCACGGGGTCGACGGGGAAAAGCATCTTCCCTGAGGCCGACGAACAGAAGCCGTCAGCGCCGGTTTATCCTTGGATGCAACGGATTAACTCGTGTAACGGTGAGTTCATGTTGTCTTTTTCACCCTTCATTTTTCTCATCGCTAATAAAGACGGAGCTAGAGCGTGCTATACGGGACTTACAGCTTCACTGTACAATGCCGGAAGCCCATACAGTGCAAATACGCTCGTCTCCACCATAGTGTCATATTGAAAGCAAAGCCACTCCTGTAAAGTTCTGTGAAATCTCCCATATGTACTGCACTTGCTTTTGAGGGAGGACATTTAGAAGAAATATGTTCACCGCAAGGCTCATATCATTTAAATCACTGGAGAAGCTTGTCTAATTCTAAACAGAAGAGATGTTGCATTACCGTATTATTGCAAAATGACCATTGTTGTTTTGACACATCTGTTACTGTTTGTTCCTTCTTGGGATACGAACAATGGTGAGTACATGGCAATATAAAAAGCACGAAATATAGCCTATGATTAGACTATGCAGAAACAGAGAGAAACTCTAAAGTGCAATAGAAGCTGAATGCTCTGTGCATTTTCAATAACCTGATTTTAGTCGCTGCTTAGCCCTGTCCGTTAACAGTGGTTTCATGTATAAAAAAAAAAAAAAAATATCAGCAGTCTGGACATCTGTGTACACGTACACGTTTCAGTCACAAACACAAGTTTGACAAGTGCTCAAACTATTACTGGACGCACTGCATCTATGTTCAGATATAACGATTGATATGAAGCATATAAATAGACCGGTATCTTTTGTTTATATCTGTCACGAAAATAAGGAGAATCACATGTCCTCTGTATTTTTCCCCTCATCGCAAAAAAACTGTTTTTGACCTCTCAATATGTCTGCACATGGGTTTAAATGAGGACAAAATAACTAAAAATCGCCATAATAAACATGTTTAAATATGGTAAAAATACAAAATAGCATAAATGTGTGATATTGTGGACTGTATTGTATAGGTGCATAAATTTCACACTGCCTTGAGTGTTTCTTGTCATTGTCACCCCTCGAGTTGTTTTCTCCGGACGCATTTATCATTGTAATAAACACGCTCTCGGTGTTAATGTTTGACTTTTCTCTTTTATCTCATGGACAGGGACTTTCGGTAACGCTGGCCGAAGGGGTCGTCAGACGTACACTCGCTACCAGACGCTAGAATTGGAGAAAGAGTTCCACTTTAACAGGTATCTGACCCGAAGACGCCGCATCGAGATTGCGCACGCACTGTGCCTGACAGAACGTCAGATAAAGATTTGGTTCCAAAACCGGCGAATGAAATGGAAAAAAGAGAACAAATTGATCAACTGTTCACAAACCAGTGGCGAAGAGGAGGAGGAGAAGAGGACAGAATGAAATTTTAAACGATAAAATCCCCCCAAAAGAAAACTATTGCATAGAGGGCACCAGACACCACTCTGTAATAACACAAATGAAGACTTTCCATCATGTTAGCAACTGTAGCATTCCTGATAACTCATACTTGTAATTTCTTTTGTGATTTCTTTTCCTTTTTTGTACATGTCGTTTAAAACATGTGGTTTTGTGCGCTCTTACTCTGACTTTAAATTTGCTCTTATAACTGAAATGTCCATGTTGAACGAAACTATTTGAAATTTGTGTCATATTCGTGTTTATATTTAAGCTGTGTAAAAATAAAAATAAATTCCCATTCTACGGAAAACGTTTTTCTATCTTTCATTTTTGTAAGGTAAACGTTTATACACTATATGAGCTAATTTAGTGAGACTGGGTGAAAAGCAGTTAGAAATTCTAGAAAAACACTAGCTTCACATCAGTATATATAGCCCATATATATAGCACGTAGGCTACTTTACTTTTTGTTTGTTATTCAATAAAACAAACAAATCTTTCCGCTTGTCATGCATGCTGTACCTATATGATGACGGCCGATCATATGAAATGACGAATCCTTTTTGCGGTACAACACCTGTATGCATTCCCTGTATTATTTTTATTTTTTGTCAAGAAAACTAGTTTAAACAAATTCACGGTTGACCCATAGGTGATGTAATGAGAAATACAGCCTTTATCGCATCTTTAGTCTGTAGGGCAACGCCATAACCATGCACTCTTCTGCGTAACTAGTATGAAATTTCAGTACCTGCGGTATAAAATGTAAATATATATATACATTTATTAGTGTGCATATGATATTCTAGTACAAATACTGGTCACGTGTTTTCCTGATTTCATTAGACAGGTACAAAGCCCAAAAAAGTTTGCGTTAGGGATTTGGTTTCGCTTTTTGTATTACTAAGAGGCCGAACGTTGCCCACTTGGTTCCAAAATACTTCCTACAAAGTGAGAGGTGAGAAGGTTCAGCAGGTTTTAATAGATAACCAAAAGAGAAAGCTGACCTTTCGGCGCTGGTCACTCACCCTGAGAGACTATACAGCCTGGAGGGCTAAAGCGACAATAAACCACATTTTTCAGGTGGAGGTTCCTAATTGCCTCTTTAAAAAATTTAACCTCAATATCAGACATAATTTACATAATAGAAAAAAAAGTAATAATGCATAAGTTTTCTACACGCAACGTCACATTAAATTATATTTATATTTGAAAAGCAGAGTATACATCAGTGCATGAATGTGTGTTCACAAAGCACAATGGATGGACTTCATGCTTGTTCGCAGCCTGGAATATTATGTTACTTGTTAAATTCTGCACTTTTCCGAGCATCAAAAATATTGCTAAAATGTCAGTGTAAATGCTGATCTGAGGTATTTCAACAGTGCTTTTCCGTCTTTAACGTAATCAAAAGTGAATGGAAGTTTAGTACAGATTTACATCATGCACATACATGAACCAGCAATTGGCGTTTTGTCAACAAACCATATATCATCTTGGAACATAAATCACGATCTCGCATTCCTTATATTCATTCCATAGAATTTGCTGTGTGAGGAGCTCATCTTTGGAATGCGTCTACTAAAAAGTCACATCTCTTCTTGAGTTTGAAAAAATACATCTGCGACAAGACTAACGAAGGAATTTGTTGGAAATTAGCGAAACATAATTTGTTTGAATTTCCCTTCTTTAAACTGGAATTAATATAGTATATATATTTCATGCAGTCAATGTTATCATCAGTGCTTAATTTATTATCATTATTCTAACTTGACACAAGGTACAATTTTAAATGAGTAGGCTACTAAAGTAGCCGTAGGGTTTCGCAATATTACAACCGTTATAATTTTAAGAACTGTATCATGATTTATTCTTAACATGTTAAAGTGTAATTGTTTTATTTCTTTTTTGTTTTATCCGGGATGATGTGACAGTTAACTGTGTATTGATATCTGCATATCAAGTAGCCTACGCATTAGCCTATAGTTTCTGGGCAATGTCTGTATGCGTTAAGGGTCGATAAATACACTAAACGTTATTAATATCACAAACATACTACAAAGAAGATCAGTTTTATTCCCATTTAAAAGAGATATAACTAGCGTTAAGCTCTGAAAATATATTTCCAGCGTGCAATACATTTTATTCCCAGTAGGTGACGCTGTCCGCTTACATGCAGCAAATCCCTGCAAAGGGAGGAACACGTTGACTCGAGTCTAACGACTCCCCGTCTCGTCATCATTTGTAACCATAGAGCATGAATTACCTCTTGAAGTCATCAGTGAGAATTTACGACTGGTCAACAAAAGCACGTGATTCTCAAACGCACCCCCACCCCCATATTTGGCCGCATACATAGCAAAAACGAAGTACAGTGCATTGCTATAATTCATTAATACATCATAAATCGTGAAGCACAGCGTTATAACGACCAAGATCTACAAATCAAGCCCTCTAAAACAACCTAAATGAGCTCTTACTTTGTAAACTCGTTCTCAGGGCGCTACCCAAATGGCCCTGACTATCAGTTACTAAATTATGGAACTAGCAGCAGCGCTATGAACGCCTCGTACAGGGACTCCGGCACCATGCATTCAGGCTCTTACGGCTACAACTACAATGGAATGGACCTAAGCGTCAATCGTTCAACCAGCACTGGCCACTTTGGGGCGGTTGGGGACAACTCCCGGGTCTTCCAGTCTCCAGACCCGGAGACGCGATTTCGGCAGCCGTCAAGCTGCTCGCTCGCGTCTCCGGAGCCGATGCCTTGCTCCAACAGCGAAAGCCTTGGACTCAAAGTCTCTTCGCCCCCTTCCGACCAAAGCACCACCACTGCGGGTAATAATCTAACCAACAACACACATTTCACAGAAATCGACGAGGCCAGCGCTTCTTCTGAGACCGAGGAGGCGTCGCACAGAGCGAACAACTCTGCACCCCGGACACAACAGAAGCAAGAGACCACGGCAACCTCCACTACCTCGGCTACGTCCGATGGCCAAGCTCCCCAAATATTTCCCTGGATGAGGAAACTACATATTAACCATGGTACACACGTATTATGTTTACGTCTCTTTGTTTGTAAGCGAATGCGTATTGTGTTCAGTTCTCATTTTAATTCACGTGTGGCGTCAGTAACAGCCTTTATTTTAGATTTCTGTGAAAGTGCCATAAATCTATCAAGTGTGGAGCCTCGCAAACTGCAGAAGAGAGAATGGGAGCGGGGTGGAAGAGAGGGCAGGAAGGTTTACAAGTTGTTGTTTCTGTGAAAAGTTCAGCTTTATGGTATGTGGGAATGTGATTAGTTCAGTGTTGGAGAACCGGTAATAAAACGGAGAGAAAGAACACGGGATAAAAGGCAAGAATAGTGGGATGGATGGATAAACAAGCGGCGGAAAAAACTGAATACATATAATAATCATTTCGAATGTTTGGTGCTGTATTACATCTACAAAATATTGAGGTTTTAAGAAGTAAAACGAAACAAAAACAAACGCTATGAGCCTACAGTGTGGCGCTTGCAGTGTACCATTTGGTGATTTCCCTGTACATATTCAGTTGTAAACCGTGTCACTCATGTGTATCTATAGCAAAAAAGTTGTTGGAAACTGTTGTTGAAATGATTTGCAGGTCAATTCTCGCTAATCTTTATTCCCCTTTGCGTTTTGTCCACATTATTCAGATATGACTGGACCAGACGGCAAAAGGGCCCGAACTGCATATACCCGCTATCAGACGCTAGAGCTGGAAAAAGAGTTCCATTTCAATAGATACCTCACCCGAAGGAGGAGGATAGAGATAGCCCACGCTCTATGCCTCTCAGAGCGTCAAATTAAGATATGGTTCCAAAACCGGCGGATGAAATGGAAAAAGGACAATAAACTGAAGAGCATGAGTCTGGCTACCGCAGGTAGCGCTTTCCAGCCATAGTTGTATCCCAAGTCCTACTACGTGGTGTGCAAAATAAAATCACGAAGAAAACGAGATGAAAAATACGTCTCAAAACATTACTTACAGAGTACTGTACATCGCGGCACCTTTCGGCATGTTATGGATGTTTTAGGCATTTTAAAATTCTACTGTGGTACTGCTATAATGAAACGAAAATTAGTGTTCATATGTTGTTTTTTTAATACTATGGTGACTATAATTTGGCAAGTAAATAAAACTGAAAGGGAAAGAAGCTATCAATATACCGCCTGATGTTCTTGTTATGAATATTGTTTATGTGTCAAGTGCTATGTTAATGCTTTCTTGAGAGTTAGCATGTGAGCTCTTAAATGTTATAACTTATTTACCTATTCACGCGTATACCTTTTTGAGTTTACAGCTTAGAAACGCATCTGCCCTTGTATGAAGTGAAGCTCTAGTTTAGTGGTGACTGCAGTAAATTAAGCAGAAGCCTCTGTATATTTCATGGTCCTCTGTTTAATCATTGTCTAAATAATCACATTAAATTTGTCATGTGTTCAAACTCTTCTATTATTTTTGAGAGAGAGAGAGAGAAAAAAAGGAAATGTGTAAATAGTCTTCATTCTTGTACCCGTTCATACGTGTGTATAGTTGTATTTCAAATATGTAATTGTATATTACTGGATCATGTTTATGTTCCAAAAAGGATGTACATATTGAACATTTTTATCGTGATCAGTTGGCTATTTGTATTAGGCAGAATGAACGGCAAACTTGTGGAAAACGAAAAAAAAAAAAAAAAGCAATGTCATGTCGAACTGCCTGTTAGCATTTTGCCAAAAAGCTTTTTGTATTTGTTTGTAGTTTAACTTGGAGTAAAAAATAAAGTTCCTCATATTCAAATCTAATACTTTTCTTGACAGTTCTTCAATTTACACACAATCGAGACAACCAATTCTTGTCAATGGTTGACAGTTATCGATTAAACACTCATAATATTCTCTCAAAATCAAAATACTGCACAGTCCTTTAAATTACTGAGAAACGTTTTGCTACGCCACAGTGCAGATCCTTGAACTGTATAGGCTACTGACAGTTTACACTCAACTTGGACACTAATAGCAAAAAGCTAAAATGCCCTTACTATTAAGCGAAAACAGACATTAGGAGAAATATTCACCAAAACCTGGCGCGTATACAAGTTAAGACCTTTCTAGTCCCGCTA